AATTTTTCTATACTCTATAAGCTAAAAAGGAAATCAACTAAACATCATCTTCACTCCCATCATCATCACTTTCATCATTTCCTATCTCAACTTCATCACTTTCTTCATCACTTTCATTCTCAACTTCATTTAAATTCATTTGAAAGATAGATCCGAATTTAATGTTCTTTACTCCTTTACAGGTTTGGTAAAATGGAATTCGGTTGGATGATTTCAGTTTAATAAAAAATTCAAGTGTTGCATTCGCTTGAACCAGAGATTCTACGGTGAATTCGTTTAATAAGCCACTAATTAAACCAAGCGAATTAAAATATCTATTTTCAGTTTTTTGGCTAATACTAAGTGAAGTACAAACTTGGTAACCAATCCACTCTCTTAATGATTTTTGGTTCACGTTTTTTCCGAGAGGAATGTGACGTTCTTTTTTGTATCTAATTCCGAATTTTGCATATTCATTTGGCGGTTCAGAAGTTGCGATCAAAAATAAATCGATATAATATTTCCTTAGTTCTAAAAAATGATTTATTTTGTCAATTTTTATCTGATTTTCAGAATCATCTAATCGATTTAAGTCCGAACGCCATTTAAGGAGATTTTGGATTACTGTATTCACGTCTGAAGAATTCTTTGTGAATGAAATAGTAAAGGGCTCTCTTGTTTGCTCTTTATGATTCAAAGTTTTTTCTTTTAGACTGTTGGCAACATCTTTCCAACCCATTATCCTGGCTATTAATTAAATAATTATTAATTTAAGTTAAATCAAATTTTAATAAATTTTATTAAAATTATTACGTTTTTTTTCACAATGGCACTTGAATTTTCGGTACACTTATATTTCATCTATGCCATAATCACAGTATTTTTAACATACGTTCCAGTCAAAGTTTAATCGTAAGTATTGTACTATGAAATTCGACAAAAAAAAATTAGTTGTGGCACATGATGCACCTCATTTAATAAGTTGGACCAGTTGACGCACCTCATTTGACAAGTCGACGTATCGAGAACAAATGATCATCGGATGATCACGTGAATTTCAGCATCAGCCGTTTTCAGCATCAGCTGCGACAATTATTTTTACTACTTTTTATTAGTGTTCCGCAAAAAAGAACCGATTGGACCCGGCATTTTTAGTAGCCATAAAAGTAGTGTTTCACTAAAGGTGCCCGAACTAAAAATTGTATGTATGATAATGTGGAAAATTCCACACTAGAAAAAGGCTTCACTTTGTATTTTCCGCATGCCTGTAATCAGTAGCAAGTCTTCAAAGTCACCAAATCCAGACCCGGAACCGAACCGGAACCGAAAACTTTGAAGGACTTTGAAGGCTTGCTACTGGTGACAGGCACATAGAAAATACAAATTGAAGCCCATTTCTGCTGTAGGTTTTCCTACACTATTATATATACGATTTTTAGTTCGGGTACCTTTTGTGGAATACCGCTTTTATGCCAACTAAAAATGCTGTTTTCAACCGGTTCTTTTTTGCGGAACACTACTTTTTATAAGTTTTTTTTTCTAATTATAAACAAATTACACGGACCTATCTTTAAAGTATTGTTCAGGTAGTGATAAAGGATAACCCAATCATATGCTAAGAATCGCACACACCATTTCATTCTTAAGTAAACCATACTCTATGTATTTCATACTTCATTCTGGTATATAAGGATACATCTGGTTCAATTATTCACAAGATTAAATATGCATTAATAAAATAAATATCTCGGGTCAATAAATATCATGGGATCAAATAAAAAGCATTTCTATTTATATCTCACATTATAACAAAAATAAGACGCACACTCGATATGCAATGCCCTAATAACGATAAATCCCAATTCAAACGTATGCGGTCACGAATCGTACACATCAAATTCGATTGCCACAATAGAGATAGAAGGTATTCCAATTAAATTGATAATGAGATAAGAACTTTGGTACAATAAAAAAAAAATTTGAGATATTAATTCAGTAAATAAAAAAAGAAAAATCAGAGATAATATACACAATACAAATAATCCAAAATAAATAATCCAAAATAAGTAATGTAGATAGAGGCGAGTTATTATCTAGTTATAACACAAAAGCCGCAACAAAAAACAGTAACGGTAAGTTTTCACACTTAAATTGCTAACTTCGATACAAATAGAAAAATAAATATAGAATGAATAAGTCATGAAGACTAACCAGTTCAAGATCTAGCATACAGAGGCGGTACGCACCTTTTAAATATTAGTCTGGGTTCATGATGAAGGATACTCCAATCATATGCCAAGAATCGCACACACCAGTTAACTCTTAAGTAAATTATACACTATGTATTCAATACACGGTTTCCTTGTATAATAAGATCACTCGATACCTGATTTGCTATTGAATCACTTACACCTGGTGTCTGCATTTTTTTTATAATAAGTTCACTCGGTACCTGATTTGATATTGAATCACGGACACCTGGTGTCTGCATTTTTTTTTAATAATAAGTTCACTCGGTACCTGATTTGATATTGAATCACGGACACCTGGTGTCTGCATTTTTTTATAATAAGATCACTCGGTACCTGATTTGATATTGAATCACGGACACCTGGTGTCTGCATTTTTTTTATAATAAGATCACTCAGTACCTGATTTGATATTGAATCACGGACACCTGGTGTCTGCATTTTTTATAATAAGATCACTCGGTACCTGATTTGTATTGAATCAAGGACACCTGGTGTCTGCATTTATTATAATATATTTTTTGCATACCAACTTCATACAAACGGAAGAACAGCTGGTGTCTGCATTTTTTTTTTGATAATAAGATCACTCAGTACTTGATTTGGTATTGAATCACGGACACTTGGTGTCTGCATTTATTATAATAACATCTAGTGTCTGCATTTTTTTGCATACACAAATGAATTGAACAATAAATTCGTACAAACTAGTTTTCACGAATTTATAGTATATTTTGTAGTTCATAATCGAAGCCAAATTTCTTTGATTTACATCTTTCGAAAATTTTAAATTTTTCATTCGTATACTTTAAAGAATACATTTTAAAGAATACACAAAGTTGAGAATAATTTTGTGTTTGGGATAATTTTGTGTTTATTCTTATATCAAAAAAAAATATATATATATAAATTTATTTAAAGAAATTCTATAAATTTTTCTATACTCTATAAGCTAAATGCGGCAAAAACTTGTAACGATAATTTGTACTCTGCGATTTACAATTGTGAGAAATAAAGTTTTACA